ATCCTGCTCTTTTGACTCTCACTAGCCGAAATCGGGCTGAATTCTATGGAAAGCCTCATTAGCTGCAATTTTGTGGACCATTTTGGCTAAAAAGAAAGTCAAGAATTTTTCGCGATACCAAAAGCGATTTCGCAGCTCTGTTTCACAAGGCCACTATGCTGGTAATCTTTTGGGCATCCAACCACAGACTTTTAACCAGGACTTTGGCGGCTAGTTTCCTTAGCAATTGGGTGAACCTTATTCAACTCACCCCTCACCGCGACCCAAGCGCATCAATCTGGACACCTCCTCCGGTGGGAGCTATTAAACTTAATTTTGATGGATGCTCCTTGGGAAATCAAGGCCTAGCGGGCACTAGAGGGGTTTCCCGCAACCATAACGGCGACGTCATCTCATCCTTCTCAGAACACCTTGGCCAAGAAGATTCTCAGTTTGCAGAGGCTACAGCCCTGTTGATGGGTATTAAGAAATGTAATCCGTTCTGGGGTTCACGGTTGTACATCGAGGGAGATGCCAAGAATATTATATCCTGGGCCGCTAGAAAGGCCTCTCCTCCTTGGCACCTAGCACATATTTTTGACGAAATTGAGCCTACTTGCAGGGTTATAGACGCCCCATGGACGCATATCTGGAGGACGTCCAACGACTTCGCAGATCGCCTCACCAAGGAAGCTGCTAGGAACCAGCCTTCAGCCCCCATTAAGTTGTCTTAGAGGCAGTCCAAACTTTGTTCGTACGACTTTCTCCTCCTTTTGCTCTGGGTCTCGGCGGGAGGCCTTCTTCTTCCTCATTGGCAGTCCTCTCTCTTGTAATGGGCGTATTCTATAAGCCCCTATCTCTAGACAGCCCTTAACTTTGCTTCCCGAGTGTTGTTATAGCCCAACTTTTTTGCACAGGTCACTTCTTAGTGACCATTTTTTGGTTGAGAGACCCGGTCTATGGGTCACCTCGACCCATACTATTGTACTACTTTTATTATAATATTAACTATTAACATTCTAAAAAAAAAAAACCTTTTTTCAGTTAACGAATTCATACAATACACATCCTGCGTGTGGTCTAATTGATGTAGTCATCAATTGTATGTTATCAAGTTAGACAGTGGAGATGAACCATGTGTTTCGATGAATGCAGGTCCTTGGAACTCAGCTATTATTAGACCATTCTTGAGGATGGACGGTCAATGCTGGGTTAATGAGACACACAAGCAGAGAGCAGATGCAGGTTGTGTATGATACTGCATTTGGGATTTCTCATTTCAACGATTTGTTTATGCTAATTGTTTGTCCATACTATTTGGAATATTAGTTCCTTTTTACTCAAGGAACCATGATTTTAAAAATAGGAATATGAATCCCATTAACTTAGGATCTAGATCCTCAATTCCATGGATCAAGATCCTCAATTTCAAAGATTGAGATCCCTAAATCAAAGAAATGCCTGGAATTGAGATGCCATGTCTCGGAGGGCTAGTTTGAGCTTCAAGAGCAGAATCGACCCATGGTTGGGAGATCCTAGTAACTATGTAACTATGATCCTAGTAACAAGATGTTGGTGAAATGCACATAATGTACAAAGAAGATGTCTAGCCATATTAATAGCCTAAAACGTCACCTTACCAAAATCCAGGATGATGTTGTGTCTTGTTCAAGTCAAGCAACAGATGATGCAATCCATCCAGGCAGCAAAAGAAAGAAGGTGTTAAGAAAGAGAGTGACTAAGTAGATATGAATAGAGCTCTATACAGGTTCTGGTGAGGAAGGGGAAGAATATTTTGAGACCTAATTTGAGTGTGCAAGGAGAACCAATCTAGAGCATACGTATTATAGAGAGCATGCCAGCGTGGTTTTGGTGTGTACTAGGGAGCTAGAACCTAATATCCAGTACCTCCAGAACCAATAATACCTGGAGTGGGTTGGCTGTGCACCAAAAATCGCAGGTCTAATCAGGTCTTCCAACTTTATTGAGAGATGAAGAGTTTTTACTAGTTCTCAGTCTTCGCAGCCCCAAGGTATGCATCCTTCACATCCTGCAGAGCTTACCCAAGGGCAAATTGACCCCTTTATGTATATGCTCCAAGAAGAACAAAGGACCTCGAATCTTACATGGAGGAAGGCAATTAAGAAGAAAATTCAGAACACAATAGCAAAATAGCTTTAAGATGTTGTGATCCCATTTACTGCAGCTATTAATGAATTTTATCAACTTATGATATCTATTATACCATATGGCTAGGATTCCCAACTACAGATAAGCTTGCAAAGCCATTGCTTAGATGAGGATATGGCCAAGGTTGATCTATTTGTTGATGAGTATAAGGGCATGTGGCAAAGGACAAGGTGACCATTATGTCTAATGGCTGTAAGGATGGTCAGTCTTTTTGTTTATTGTCCAAGAGAAGCAGTCTTCCATCTAGACTAGCTGCCTCTTAAAAAACTTAGGATTGGGAAGCTTTTATTTAATTTTCTTGATAATTTGGTGGCAGCTATTGGGGAAGAGAATGCAGTTCAATTTATCATAGACAATGCAAAAGAACCGCATAAAAGCAAGGAGATTGCTTATGAGAAAGATGAGGCATTTAGTTCAAAGGACATTCACAGCTAACTGTATAGACCTCATGTTGGAAGCAATTATTTAATTGATGCATCAAAAACCTCAGGTTCATATGGGCAATATGTTAAAAAGGAACAAGTTTTGACAGACGATCCAGCTACAGTTGGGGAAGAACTCCCAATGGTAAAAAATGTATTAGTAGCACGTATGCATGGAAAGGCTACGATTTTGAAACTGTGATAGTAATTAGACATTTCGTATACGGAGAGGTATGTTGAGAGAAGGAACACAACAACAAGCTTCATATAAAATCTCACTCATGGGCCCTTAATGAGGCAACACTTTGGAAGGAAGCTCATAAGGCATGATTTTATTACTAGATTTGTGCCATTATACTAATATAGAGTCAATCCTAAAGTGGCAATCAGAATTGAAGAACACAATAGCATATGAGGTATGGGTTTTTGCACCTATCTCAAAAGCTCCAACTGCAAGAGAAGTCAAAGAAATATTTAATAGCCACAGGTCGAGATAAGTCCAAGCAAACTGTTGTTACAACAGCCCCGATGTTATATAGTCCTAAAGATGGTTGACATGCTCATAGGATTCGTGTATGAACGACTGAACCGTGCAAAGCAAGACATATACGCAATTTGCAGATACGAAAAGAAAATTTGGGAAATCATCGATGACAAGTGGACAAACACACTGCACCGGAAATCCATGGAACGAGTAACTTTCAATTTCAAATTTCATTATATTATTATATCTTAATTTGTGATTCACATGTCATGTAGATTGTCACCTATTTGACTAGACCATTGATATAATCATATCAATGTATTAAGGTTTTTTCTTTAAACTGGTATACCACTATCAACCAAGTCAAAACCAACACCGTAAGATAATGGAAGAGGTGATGTGTTGCATTGAAATATTCGAGCAAGAAGAGCACATCCAATTGAAATTTGAAAGAGGCAATGTTAAAAGAGAAAATGTGGATTCGACCACCTAGGCGGGCGCCAGCTTTCCTAAGCGGCCCAAAGGTGAGAAGAGGTCGGGGGTTTGCGGGGCTGGGGTCTAGGAGAAGAGTAGGGAGCTTTAAAGGGAAGAAGAAGCGTAGCAGGGATTGGCTGGGAGAAAAAGAGAAGGGGGAGGGGATTGGTTCCATCTCAAACCCTTCGCATGTCAGTGTCCCCTCTAACCTTTTGTGTGATGAGTGCCGCATAAGCCTCATCTTGCAGCTGCTTCAGGTCTCAGCCATTTCAAAATTAACATGGTCACCGTATCATCTCTCTCTCTCT